ATGTATTTTTAAAAACAGAGTCTTGGTATGTAGCAGTCTTTCCACCTCAGCCTTTCTACTCTGAGGTTACAGCCGTGCGGCCCCTCACCTGGATCTGCTTCCCTTTTTAAGGAGTAAGTGGGTACTGAGGAGCTGGTTTGGTCAGCAGCTGCTGTAGAACTCAAACATCAGAGCTCAGATCCCCACCATCCATGTAAAAGCCACATCTGTAAGCCAGGGCTGGGAAGTGGACTCCGGAGGATCTTGGAGCCCTTGGGCTAACCTAGTCTAATCAGTGAGTTCTAGGTGTAATGACCCTACCTCATAACTTTCAGTGGTTGAAGGCCGGAGAGACAGCTCAGCAGTTAAGAGTGCATACTGCAAACCAGGCAGTGCTGGTGCACACCTTTAATTCCAGCACCTGGGAGGTAGAGGCAGGTGGACCTCTATGAGTTTGAGGCCAGCCTGGTGTACAGAACTAGTTCTAGGACAGCCAGGGCCACACAGACAGACCCCTTCTCAACAAAACAGAATAGAACAAAAAAGGAGTGCATAATGCTCTTGTCGAGGATGGGAATTCAGCACCCACATGGGCAGCTCACAACTGCCAGGAAGGAATTTCAGCTCAAGGGAGATCCAACCCCTCTAGCCTCTGCAGGCACCTGCACTCCTGCACGTAACCCCCATATACACATAGGCACATACTTTAAAATAATAAGATAAAATAAATCTTTTTTTTTTTTAAAAAAAAATAGGTTGTTGAGTTGGGCACAGTGGCACACATCTTAATCCCAGTACTCCAGAGACTGAGGCAGGCAGATCTCTGAGTTGGAGGTCAGCCTGGTCTACATATCAACTTCCAGGCCAGCCTGGGTTACATAGTGAAATATTGTTGAGAAAAAGAAAAGAGAAAAAGGGAGAAAGGGAGGTAGGAAGGAAGGGATGGAGAGAGGGAAGGAGAGAGGGATGGTGGGTGACATAGAATGATATTCAATCCATAGGCACCTGCAAACACATGTACATACACCTACAGAAACATGTTTGCATAACACACACAGGCGCACGCACACACACACACACACACACACACACACACACACACACGGCATCAGGTTTCAAAAAGCCCTTTAATATTTGTACACCTTCCTATAAAGAGGCCAGGTTTTTGGGTGGCTGACTTCATTTTCCTTCACTTTCCCCTGGCTTGTTCCAGTCTCATCAGGCTGACATTTTTTGTTCTTTCAGTTCTCCTTTCAGTAGCAAATGTAGAAAACCCCAGCTCGCTTCAAAGCTGTTGCACATGGGCTTGGCTCTGAGTAGTGCCCGTTACCCACACCCTGTACTGGACTAGCTCATCTTCTGAGGGCTTAGCTTCATTGACACTTAAACTTTCCAGCTTTTGTTTTGTTTGTTTTTAAGATAGGGTCTCAGTAATGTAGCTCTTACTGTACCTGCTTCTGCAATACTGGGGTAAAAGGTGTATGTCACCATGCCTGGCATATATATATATATATATATATATATATATATGATTTTATATTTATCTTACATGAATGATACATGACACATGTGTGTATATATGCGTGTGTATGTGTTGGGGCTGGGGTTTGGGCATGTCACCATGTGTATCTGGAAGTTAGAGGATAGCTTGTAGGGGTCAGTTCTGTCCTTCTACTTGGGTCCTGGAGATCAAACACAGGCTGTTAAGCTTGGCAGTAAGTGTCAGAAATTTGCATGTCACCCTTACACAAGACCCATGCTAAATCCCTGTAATGTTCCAAGTCTCATGCTGCCGCAGTGAGTATTCAGTCTATCTGTTCTCTTTCGGGTCAGTCTGTCAATGGTCTTCATCAGCTCTGTGCTTCTCTCATCACAGTGTCATGGTTGGCCATCATGTCCGTGCAATGATGGACTACTCTATACTCCATCAGGACCAAGGTTGTAACTCAACCAGTAAGGGCTTGTCTAGCACTCGTGAAGCCCTGGGCTGTTCCCAGCATTACATAAAACCGAGCAAGCCTGTAGTCTTAGCACTTGAGGGGTGGAGGCGGGAGGATCAGAAATTCAAGGACATCCTCAGGTACAAAGTTGGCCTGTGTTATGTTTTTTTTGTTGTTTTGTTTTTGAGACAGAATCTCATTATATAACCTGCTGGCCTTAAACTCACAGAGATCTGCTTGTCTCTGCCTCCCGAGTGCTGGGATTAAAAGTGTGAGCCACTATGCCCATGCTTTATATGGTGAGCTTGAGATCAGCCCAGTTTACATGAGATCTGCCAAAAGAGAAAAAACATAAACACACACACACACACACACACACACACACACACCTATGTTGTGTAACTCACTGCAAGCCCAGGAGGACAGAGAGAGGCCTTGCTTTTGTCTATAGATGCAAACACAGAAATCTGACCAGGGACTTTATGTCATTTTCAGAATAAATATTTCCATATGCCAGGAGTGGGTTTTTGTTTCTGATACATGGAGAGTTCTCTTTCACAGTCCTCAACCTGAGACACAGAGCAGGCTACAGCTTAGACATTTTAAAGTCTTTCTTCACTCACCTGTGAGGGGCTCAGCTGTCTGGGAACAGCAGGACAGAAGTGTCCAAACTGAGGGGAAGAGGCTCTGGGTGGGAGAAGGTAGGGTCAAGCTGGAGTTGTTAATGAGGGTGTGGAGTGCTTACACAGAATGAAAAGTCAAGGTTGCCAATTTTGCTTAAGGAAGCTCAAAAGGGGAACTGAACGGAGAGCAGGGGTGGGGGAAGGGGAGGGACAGAGGGGAGCAGTCCAGAAGAGGTGAGAAAGGAAGGCCCTCTAAGCTGCCGCTTACCTTCTGTTTCCCACCTCTGCTATGACCAGATTGTATGATGGATCTCTCTATCCCACGGAGCCAGAGGGAGTAAAACATCCCAGTGTTTGTTTGGAGCCATCTGTTCTGGTGGAGACCAAATATGCCGATTACCTGGGTCTCTTTTCCCTGCCCTTCACTCACTGGGAAACTTTATCTTTGACTCCCTTAGAAGATTAGATTGCTATCCTCTTTAAATATTGACCAAAATTTCCATCTTAATCCCTAAGACTTTCTCCCTAAAGCTGAAGACACTGAGAAATTTCTCTAACAAGTTTTTCCTCATAGATTTAATAATTCTACAATTTTAAGAATAATTTCATTAAAAGATGAAAAAATAAAAACCAAACCTGGAGTTCCTTTATTCTGTCTTTTATTTTTCTAAAGAAGATTTATTTTTTATTTTATAAGTGTTTTGCCAGCTTACATGTAGTGGTATGCATGGATGCCGGTGTCTGTGGAGGTCAGATGAGTGTTAGATCCTCTGGAAATGGAGTTACAGTGTGGATGCTTGACCCTGAACTCAAGTACTGTGTAGGAACAGCAGGTGCTCTTAATCATTAAGCCATCTCTCCAGCCCCTCACATCATATTTTTATAGTTATATAAGTATATACATTCATCATATATATGTATATATGCATATATATATATATACATATATATATATATATACATACATACATACATACATACATACGTACATACACATATAGTTTTTTTGACAGGGTCTCTCTTTGTAGTCATGGCTGTCCTAGAACATCCTATGTAGACCAAGCTGGCCATGAATTAACAAAGACCCACCTGCCTCTGCCTCCTGGTGCTGGGATTAGAGCTATGTATCACCACGATTGGCTTGCCTTGATATAGTTATAAACAGAAGGACACAGACTCAAACCTTAACAATATGGTATTTAAAAATATGCTTACAAAAATAACAAATAACAAATAAACAAAAATAACAAATAAAAATACAAGAGGCAGAGACAGGCAGATCTCTGAGAGTTCGAGGCCAGCCTGATCTACATAACTCTCATTATGAGTTCCAGGACAGCAGGACTACATAGAGACCCTGTCTCAAAAAACAAAACAAAACAAAAAACAAAAAACAAAAAAAAAACAGGAAAAAGAAAGAATCAAAAAAGTATATCAAGGCACATGCTCTAAACCACATACAAATGTACAGAAGTTAGTGAAGGAAAAAAAGAAAGAAAAGAAAAAGCTTCCTAAATAATCCTGATAACCTAGAGTAGACCTCTCCCCAGGCATCATGGTAGAAAAAGAGAAGCAGCTCCCTTACACACACCACACACTGATAAATACACATTTATAGAAAGTGGTTTTAAAAGTTAATAAAAGGAGCGGCAGCCTGGTTGGTCAACCCTGTAATTCCTGCACCTGGGAGGCGGAAGTAGGAGGATCAGGAACTCAAAGTCATCCTTGGCTACAAGTGAACTTTAAACCAGCCTGGATTGCCTGGAACACTAGAGATCCCGTCTCAACAAAAGAACAACAAAAAGAGTGAGAGAGAGAGAGAGAGGGAGGGAAGGAAGAGAAGAAGGAGGAAGAGGAGGAGGAAGAGGAAGAAGAGGAAGAAGGAGAAGGAGAAGAAGGAGGAGGAGGAGGAGGAGGAGGAGAGAAACCCAACAGTCGATAAGATAAAATCGATGTCATCATTGTAACAGGTGATGTTCAAATGGTTTTAAACCACCATCAATTGGAGCGGCAAAATACTGGGTCTTTGCCACTGCGCATCCTGCATCGTCGTTTATTTCCACAGTTTTTTTTCTCTTTTCTTCATTCTACCATAGTGTTACCCGGTGTCAACATATCCTCCCACACAGAACATGTACATGAACATTCCTAGCAGCATTACAATGTATGTGTAGAGACTTCCAAGTGTCCATCAACAGACGATGTGGCTGGAATAGCATTCCTTTGGGAAAAGACAGAAAATCCTAAATAGCAAAACAGTCACTTAGTAGCGCTGGCAGAGCTCCCTTGGCCACGGAATAGTTGACAGCAGTGCCTGGCGGGCTCCATCTCCTTCCCGGGCCCACAGAATACTGATTGGCTGAGCTCAGTAAGGGGCGGGGCGAAGCTCAGCGGGACGGGAAGAAGCCCGGTCTCGCGAGATGCAGTTGGTTCCGCATTTCGGCTCCTGAGGTGTGGGAGGCAGCGCCGAGGGGTCCCCGGTCTGTGCTGGTTCGCGGCGGCTGGAACCCAGTACCGATCTCCGGCCGTGAAGCTTCGGCGACCCTGTTGAGCCGCAGACCGACCTCTGCTTCCCGGTGCCCGCGGCGGCGCCGAGTCTGACGGGGCGGGGGCCACGGCCCCTTGGGCTAGCGAGGATGAGCTTCCTCTTGTGAGTGGGCCGGGCCGGGGCGGGGCTGGTGTCGGTCGCCAGGGCCGGGCAGAGGGGGCAGTCGGAGGGCGGAGCCGGACTCGGGGCTGCACCGGGCCTGCCGCTTCGGAAACGGCTGGCGCAGGGAAGTGTGCAGTCAGTGCCTCTGACCAGACGAGGCTGAGGAAGCAACGTGGTGTTCCACAGGTTTACATTTGAGAAGAGAGCTTTCCACCTTATAATGTGACTTTTCTCTTATCCTAGGCAGGGCTTGAACCTGGGCCCCTCCTGCCTCAGCTCTCCAAGGAGCCAGGATTGCAGCCTAGGCCACCAGGACAGGCCTGCTTTAAATGTGTGTGTGTGTGTGGGGTGTTGTTTTGTTTTGAGAAAGGGTCTTGCTATGTAGCCCAGGGTGGCCTTGAGCCCCACCTGCCTCTACCTCCTGGATGTTGGGATTAAAGGTGGGCGCTTTCATCTCGGCCCAAATGTGAATTTTTTCAAAGGTTTTTTTATTTTTTTTTGAGAACTTAATAGATGCGTATTTTCATTTCTAACTCCTCCAGTGCCCTCTCATGTCCCATTCAAATTCATGTCTTCATATATATATATATTCCACCTATATTATATACATACCTACTAAATCCAATTAGTGTTGTATGTACTTGGGTGTAGAGCTGACCATTTGATTATGAGTAGTCTATTTGAGCTTGTTCCTGAAAAATCTTACTCTCCCTTTGGACTGTCCAGACCTCTTCAACCAGGTGAGGTAAATGTGAGTTTTTATTTATAACTTAAACTGATCAAACTGATCGACAGTTTATCCCACTCTTAACGCTGCTTCGAGCATCTGGTTACAGGTTTTTGGGTATGTGTGTGTGATGGTATCTCCTCTGTATTAGTGAATTTTTACGTGTTAGCCTTTGAGGTACCGCCAAGCCTTTTAAAGCCTGCACTGCATTTTACATCCCAATCTCAACTGTATGAGTTTTCAGAATTATCCAGTTCACATCTATCTGGCAGTTGCCTTTGTTATACCTGAGTGTGAAGTGGAATTTATTGATTTACATTCTCCCAATGACCAACAATGTTAAGCATCTTTATGTGTGTCTGTATTTTTCAGGCCATTTGTGGATAAAGTCTATTGAGATCCTTTTCCTATTTAAAATCAGATTTTTTTTTTATTTTGTTAGCACCCATTAATTGTAGGAATTAATGGGTTTCACTGTGGAATTTCCATGTGTGTGTATGGTGCAGTGGTTGTGTTTTTGGTTTGAGTTGTAAGCATTCTTTATGTATTTTGGATATGAGTGTCTCATTACATCTGTGACTTAAAAATAGTTTCTTCCATCCTCATTATTTTAACTGTTTCTATGGCATCATTTGAAAAATAAGTATATTTTTCAAACATTTATTTAGTTATTTAGTTGTTTTTTTTTGTTGTTTTTTGTTTTGTTTTTGAGACAGGGTTTTACTATGTAGCTCTGACTGTCCTGGAACTATGTAAATCAGGCTGACCTCCTAGAGATCTGCCTGGTTCTCCCTTCTGAGTGCTGGGATTAAAAATCTGTACCAGTATGCCCAGTTTAGGATTTATTTTCACTTTACGAGTATGGGTGTTTTGTGTGTGTGTGTGTGTGTGTGTGTGTGTATGTATGTGTGTATGTATACAACATGTGCATTCAGTACCCATGGATGCCAGAAGAGGGCATCAAATCCCCTGGGACTGGAGTTGTGGATGGTTGTGAGTCACCATGTGGGTGCTGGGAACTGTATACCCCAGTCATCTGCAAGAACAGCAAGTGTTCTTAACTACTGAGCTGTTTCTCCAGCCCTTGAAGCACAAACCTTAATTTATAGTATGAAGAACATATGGAATCTTAAGAAATCACTTAATGTTAATTTTCTGTATTTAGTTTCCTGTTATTCAGTTTCGTATCTCCAGGTTCCTGGGATGATCCGGCTAACTTAGTACTTCCTTATTGTATGTAGTTCTTTATAAAGTATGATATTTAGTCTAGTCCTTTCAAAATTTATTTCTTACACTACTTAAAATTTACTTTCACAGGTAAGGTGTAAGCCTACAGGTCTGTTCCCTTCTCTTTTTTAGATGGTGTCACAATTCTGATATGCATTATTTTAATGCTTTTTCTGTTTTGTTGTTTGTGCTTTCTGTGGGTTAACAAAATAGGCTTTGTTCTAATTTGGTTCTGTAATGTGTTCAGCTGTGCTTTGACTCTTGAATATATGTACTCCATTACATTTTTGTCACTGTACAGCATCCCATGATGTGGCTATTCCCCCCATATCTACAAGTGCATGGAAGGAGTAGATTTGCATTGTTAAAGATGTCGCTGTAACAAGCACTAGAATCTACAGTGAGCCCCCCACCCTCGGTTAAATGCTCTGGTCGATGTGGTATAATAGGCTGCTCTATGTAACAGGTTGTGCTGCTGTTCCTGTATTAACATTTTTAAATTTTTACTTACTTGTTTCATATATGTAGATCTGTGAGTGTGGAATAGGCACAAGTGTGTGATGTTGTGTCCCTGCTGCACAGAGAATAGAAGAGGGCATTGGGGGGCCTTCTATTACCTTTGGCCTCTTCTCTAAGGCAAGGTATCTTTTTGAAATTGGAACTTCTTTTTTATTCCCACTAGGCTGGAAGCCAGCAAGTCCCAGACAGAAATCCTTGTCTTATTCTATTGCTGTGAAGAGATACCAAGACCAGGACAACTCTTACAAAGGAAAACATTTCATTTGTGCTGGCTTACAGTTTCAGAGGTTTAGTTCATTGTCGTCATGGTGGGGAGCATGGCGGCACACTTCTGTATTGGAACTGCAGGGAGAGAGAGAGAGAGAGAGAGAGACAGAGACAGAGAGAGAGAGAGAGAGAGAGAGAGAGAGAGAGAGAGAGAGAGAGAGACAGACAGACTGGGACTGGTTTGGGCTTTTGAAACCCCAAACCCAGCCCCAGTGACACACTTCCTCCAACAAGGCCATACATACCTCCTAATCCTTACAAATAGTGCCACTCTCTTAAGTATTTAAATACACCATCCTATGGGACCATTCTTATTCTCACTGTCATGTTCCTGTTTTCCCCGCATTTCCACATAAGTAGTATTTCACATTGACCAAACAACATATAAGCCTCCCATTTTTGCTTTTCTCAGTCGTTTCTAGTTGACCATACTCATTTCTTGACAATATTCTCCCTAAGAAGTACCTTAAAGCACTAGCACTTCCTAGAGTCGGATTGCAGGCGGTCTTCATGTTGTGCAGCGAGTGCTCATAACTAGGCAGTCATCTAGTCAGTCTGCGCTCTTGCTTTTCAGGAGTGTGTGTGCGTGTGCAGATGGAGCCCAGGGCCTCCTTAATGCTGGGCAAACCTTTGACACTCCTGTATTTGTTTTTGTCATCATCCCGTCTTCCTTCTTGGCCTTTTTTAGGGAGCAGTTTTTATTGATCAGCTTATTTATTCCAATATTTATTTGTGTGTGTATATGTAAAAGCAGTACATGTTCTTAACTGCTTAGCCATCTTTCTAGCCCCCAATAGAACCGTTTATACACTTAAAATACCAGTCTTCTTTCATTCTAAAAATTCATACATTTTCACCTTTAACCCAACAGCAGCAGCCGCTCTTCGAAAACATTCAAACCAAAGAAGAATATTCCTGAAGGGTCCCATCAGTATGAACTCTTAAAACATGCAGAGGCAACTCTCGGAAGTGGCAATCTGAGGCAAGCTGTCATGTTGCCCGAGGGAGAGGACCTCAATGAGTGGATTGCTGTTAACAGTAAGTTTTTAAGAACATTAATTCGTTGATTTATAGAGTTTGCTAAAATCTTATCTAATAAGTGTTCTTTTGTAGGTATAATTATTGTAATATAACAGCTATCTATAAAATACATTTAGACTTTACCTGTCAAAGGACTTGGTTGTGTGGTTGAGTGTAGACACTTGAGGAGTGCTGAGTGCTTACAGGTACTTGGTGAGACTATCATAAAGAAATGAGTAAGGTCAATTACAAAAGTACATGCATAGTGGGAGATATATGTTTGAACAGTGTGAAGTACTACTTTTTTTAGGGAACCCCTGTTTTTTATTTTACTCAAATTATCAAGTTTGGGCTGGAAAAATGGGTCAGTGGTTAAGAGCGCATGCTGTTCTTGCAGAGGACACAGTTGGTCTCCCAGCACCCATATGGGGCAGCTAGCTCATACTTGCCTGTAACTCTAGCTGTAGGGAATCCAACAGCCTCTTCTGGACTCACATGGACATCCCATACACAGATACTGAAGCTGAACCAATTTAAACTTATCCCCAGCTAGCTTACAAATAAATGAGACTCAGACTGTGGTTATTTGGCTTTGACAATTACTGGGGGTTAACTCCTAATCTACTTTTCTAACTGCTGTCCTGGCTACCTCTCCAGTGGTGTACCCCAGATACTTGCTGTTTCTCCTGGCCTCTGGCTCATAGTCCATCTCCTCTCATGGCAGCTTCCTCCTCTTCTCTCCTTTTTCCTCCTTCTCTTGATTCTCTACCCCCAACCAGGTAACTCAAAACCCACCTACCTCTAATCTTTCCGGTAATTGACTATTGATAATTTTTATATAACCAATTTTAAATTCAGGAACAAAGTTTATACAACAAAAGCTTGTAAATGTGAGAATTCACTCCATTGGCCTAGACTTTCAGATACAGAATTTAGCATGACAGTCTACAGCAACAGACCAAACCCTCACCAGATACAAATCATATAATTTAATATGTTTTTAAATTAAATCTCAAATTATGTTATTCGGAAAGCATGTGTTGGCCTCCTGCAGTTTTAGATTTTTCTTTGAGGTTTAATTGATCTAAACTGTCTATTCAAACCTTTTGGTCTCTGGCCAGCAAGATGGTTCATCTGGTAAAGATACTGCTGCCAAGCCTGAGTTCATTCCCTGTCATCCACATGGTGGAAGAGGACTGACTGTTGGAGATTGTCTTCTGAGCCACATACACACACGCACACACATACTTATGTATGTACATACACAATAAGTAAATAAAATGTAAAATACAAAACAAACATGATACACACATACATACGTACACACACAAACAAAATACTTTTTTCTTAATCCCAGCACTTGGGAGGCAGAGGCAGGTGGATTTCTGAGTTCGAGGCTAGCCTGGTCTACTGAGTGAGTTCCAGGACAGCCAGGGCTACACAGAGAAACCCTGTCTTGAAAAACCAAAAAAAAAAAACAAAAAAACTTTTGGCCCCAGAATTCCTGTATTCCCTTAAAAATGACTGGGAGGGCTGGACAGATGGCTCAGTGTTTAAGAGCTTATACTGCTCTTATAGAGGACAAGTGTTTAGTTCCCACCCACATCAGGAGTCTATAATTCCAACTCCTGGAGGATCCAACATCTCTAGCCTGAGTTCATGTGCAAACCTCTTTCCCCCACAGTAAAAATAGGTCTTAAAAAATATTACTGAGCATGGCAAAGAACTGTTTGTTTGTTTTTGGGTTTTTTATTTGTTTGTTTTGAGACAGGGTTATTCTGTGTAGCCCTGGCTGTCCTAGAACTCAGTCTGTAGACCAGGCTGGCCTCAAATTCACTCTTCCTCTTGTGTGCTGGGATTAAAGGTATGTGCCAGTAGTGTCCGTATTGGCTAGCTCAGAATTTTTTTCTTAATCCATTTTTGAAGAAACTTGGAAAGCCCTAGTTTTTTTCAGGTACTCCTTTAGACAAGATCATAGCATTTTGAAAAAACATTCTAAGTCTTAATGATTTTCTTTTCTTTTCTTTTCTTTTCTTTTCTTTTCTTTTCTTTTCTTTCTTTCTTTCTTTTTTTTTGGTTTTTCGAGACAGGGTTTCTCTGTATAGCCTTGGCTGTCTTGGAACTCACTCTGTAGACCAGGCTGGCCTCGAACTCAGAAATCTGCCTGCCTCTGCCTCCCAAGTGCTGGGATTAAAGGTGTGAGCCACCACTGCACAGCTTGATTTTCTTTTTTTTTTTTTTGGGGGGGGGTGTTTCGAGACAGGGTTTCTCTGTGTAGTTCTGGCTGTCCTGGAACTCACTTTGTAGACCAGGCTGGCCTCGAACTCAGAAATCTGCCTGTCTCTGCCTCCCAAGTGCTGGGATTAAAGGCGTGTGCCACCACCGCCCGGCTTGATTTTCTTTATATCTATCCTTCCTCCTCATCCTCTGGATCTAGCAGAAGCTCCTTTGGAATATCCTCCCTGACTCCCTCAGTCCTTCCAGATGTTACCTTTTCTTCGAACGTCTAGAACTTACTGTTGGCATGTGGGTCCCATTTCTGTCCTGTATTATTTATCTTTTAAGCTCTTCTGTCATCATACTAGGTACTTGACTCGGTCCTTTTTGAGTGGTCTTCAGTATGCTGGAGGCCTCATGCTAATGCTGAAGCAGATGTTTGAAATGTACAAGACAGCCTGTACTTCTCACTAAATTTGTTCTATAAAATCCTTTTTCTCTTTCCCAACAAATGATAATATCTTGTAGTTTAGATTGATAAGCTATGACTCTTTCAACTCCTTGGAAAAAAAAATATATTCCAGTGATTTATTAGGTACTAGTAGATTAGCTCCAGTGTTTTAAGTCAGTTGGATGTGGCAGTGTGCTCCTATAATTCTAGTTGCTTGGGAGGCTGAGGGAGGCAGATTGCATGAGCTCAGTTGTTCAAGACTAGCCTGGGCAACATAGATTCCATTTTAAAAAAGAAAATATTATTCCTTTTTCCTTTGGCTGAGAAGTCTGTTTGGTTTGTCATGATTTATGTAGTAGACGCTTAACACAGTTGTAACTTTGTTTCTGCAGCTGTGGATTTCTTCAATCAGATCAATATGTTGTATGGAACCATTACAGAATTCTGCACTGAGGCAAGCTGCCCAGTCATGTCAGCAGGTCCCAGGTATTTGTCTAGTCTGTTAAATAGACATTCAGATTGCTTTCTTTTATTTTATAACTGATAAATACTAAATAATAAAGACTATTCTTATCTGTTTCTTCATGTAGAAAAAATTCTGTGTCTGAGTTCTTGACTACTCAGCAATAACTCTTGCTATTAACTACTTAGGTATATGAGTACTCAGTGTTTAATATTTATATTGTTCTAAGAGTAAAGTATAAAATTTGAGTTAGGGGCAGTGAGACGGCTCAGAGAGTATAAAGATGCTTGGTGCCACGCCTGGTGACCTACACTCCTTTCTTAGGTGGAAGGAAAGAACTGACTCCTGCAAATTGTTCTCACATGTACTGTGTGTACATGTCCACACAAATGTAATTCATCCCTTTTTTTTTTTTTAAAGTTTAATTTCTTACAAGAATTTTTAGATGGTCTTAAAATATTTGCTCTTTTTTTTTTTCTGGTACCTATATAGTATTAATGAAAGTAGCTGCACATCCAGAAGTAAGTATCTTAAAGAAGAAAGTCTTTTTTTTTTTTTTTTTTTTTTTTTTTTTTTTTT